TACAGTAATAGATAAACACTGTTAGCTAAAAGTAATAGATAAACACTATTAGCTAAAAGCAAGGGATAAACACTGTTAGCTGTAATGGATGGATGGGTGAAACAAACACATGACTTTCACCCAGCAGACCAGTATTCCTTTCCCGCGTGAAACCAAAAGTCAGCCGTTGACTTATTTACGTTGACTATTTAACTTATGTACAACTTCACGTAACAAACATGTTTCAATCCAAACCAACCCATGATCTGTTACTAAGCCTAACTAGGAAGTTTTGTTGCCTAAACATAGCCAAGTAATTGTTGTTATTAATTTACAATGTTAAAGACGTGTTTAAAACTGCTACCACATGTCCGTATGTGACAAGTTGGGAATGAGAAGGGGTTCGTTAATGACATGTGGAAAGCTTACAAAGCAATGAGAACGGGGCGTTAAATGACACGCAAAAAGCTTAAAATGTATGACATGGCATGTGAAATGTCCTTTAAAAAGGCTTGCTATTAATATGCCTTACCATGAGATCATATTGGGAGTAGTAAGCATGCAAAACTGACCACCTAAACATTCATAATTCACTTGCATGGAAAAAAAATGATTGATCTCCAATTCTTCATCTACTATGAAATCAATTGAAAAGACCAGCTTTGGAACATGACAGGCGTCATCTGACAAGGATATGGGGGTAATGTTACATCAAGACAAAAAATGTTAGGAACCACTGCTCTAGCCTGACAATGATGTGTTTTTTTTTGTAGTACTAAAACATTTTGAAGCCTCAGATTCTGCAGTTTTCCCATAGGTATAGATACAAATTCTGGCAGGCATTTGTTAGAGGAAAATGTCTGGAATAGCTGAACTGGGTGTTCAGTAAATGTTTTGGCTCAGTTATTCTGTTTGAGGCTTCCTACTACCCTGTAAGGCAAAAAGAATGGAGGGCAGATGAATGTCAGGAGGAGGAGGAGGAAGGACGAAGAAGTGAACGACTTAAAACAAGCTGTTACTACGGCATCACCCCCGTGCTATAACTAATTACCTCAATCACCCAGGAGGCTGCTGAGCCAGGAGTGTTATCACAAATCTAAATGCATTTAGCCCTTTGACCCATTAAATTCCTATTCCCTTAGAGACACACATAAGATTGAATTTCTACTTTTAATGATTATGATTTTACTTTTTTTCACTCATTCTCCACTTCATTCCTTTTCTGCTTACTCGCGACGTTTTGCCGTGTTTAAGAGGATCAGCTTGTGGACACATGCGGCTCTCTTCCTCCGCGGTGAGAAGGTGCTGCGTGAGCTCTTCTGCACATTGCAGCTGGAGCTGAACTCCAAGACGCTTCGACGAGAAATCCTTTTAAGGGAAGGTTTCGAGAGCGCAGATATGGAGGCAAACAGAGGCCGTAACAAATGCCTGTTTGTCATCTAATCATATTCGTTTTTTTTACAGAATCGTTTCCTTAAAGCCGTTGGAAAATATCAAGTGCCGTTTCAGTCGCTTGAATTTCCATGAATTTTGCGAAATATTTTCCAGCGAATGACCCCCACACAAGAAAATGATTTATACATGTGGAGCTGCACTGGATGTGAACCCTAGTGGAATAACTTACTGTTTGCTTTCTATGGGGTGTTTTAGAGGTTTTTTGGGACACACGTAGCACTCACATGGACCTTTATCACCCATACACCTGGAACTAATATCTATAAAAACATCTATAAATGAGCAGCATCTTATGTCTGACATTATTAAAAACTGATATCTGCTCAATAATGTATTCTTGAAGACTCGCTGAAAGTCACTTAGGATAAGGACCCCACCAGATAAGGATCCCCCTCAATGCCACCGGCAGCACTTTGCTCGCAAAGCAGATCCTCAGACACCTGCGTGATCAGGGGTTTTAGTGTGGAACGTTCTTGAGGCTCTCCCATCATGCACCGCTTGTGAATGAGATAATTTGTCTGGGGCCAGGCGGCCGGGGGGGGCAGGTCGTGTGGCGCGGCAGTCGAGTTGACTGTAATGCTCCCCGTCAGACAGGCTCAGGCAATGAGACTTAGCAGCTGGAGACAAATCAATTTCTCCTCCTCCCTCCCCCTCGCAGCAACTGGCCTCTTCATCCTCACCTACCTCTCGCTGTCCCTCCGCTCCTGACAGCGTCTGACGGCGTATCCAGCACACCGTCGCATGCTGACCTTTGTCAGAAAGCCTGCTGCACCGCGTTGGACCACACACACATTAAACGTCCCTGCTCATGCTGTTAACTGATAGTCATCTGGCGTGATGGGCGCAGATCATTCTTCTAAAGCAAGACTTGCCTCCTAGTATAGAATCTCGAACATCTGTTCAATGTCACCAGCAGCATTTTCTGGCTGGTATCAGTGAGTGGTGATGCATTATGAGATATGTGTATTAAAAAATGAAATGGTCTAGTGAGGTAGAGTATCGCTCTAAAATCACAAAGTGACTTAACATCAATGGAAAGAAGAATATGAAATGAATATACTGGACGGTTGCACAATGCTGTTTTAAAGCAATAGTTCTGCATTTTCAGAAACAGGCTTAATCATTATCTGTCCGAGTCAGATGAGAAGACTCTGGAGACACCACTCTCATATCTGTCCCTTAAAGGGGAACTGCGCCCATTTTCAAAATTCATACATGTTATTCCTATGGTCTAAGACAGTCCAGAAATGTTAGTCAAAATGAACAACTCTCCCCCAAATCCAAAAACTAGATTGCTCTAACTCAAATCTGTGGTGTCATCAAGTATAAAGTGTGGAAATGCTCCATAGATAATGAATGGGGTGAGATGTTATAGATCAGTGTTTCTGGGGATCCACTTTTGTAAAACCATTGCGAACCAATTCACAACAGAGTTTATCTCTAAATTATTACAGCACATTGAATTTGTGCGTAAATGAAAGTTCCTGACCATTTTTACTGCCATTTCCACATCACCTTATCTTACCTTTAATAGGTAATTTAGCCATTTTGAAGAGATATACATTTGATAAAGCACAACTTTGTTTAATACATTTGTTATTGCAAACATTTACACACGTTAAATACGTTATAAATGGGACCAAATAAACGCTTTAAGTCGGAGTTAACGTAGAGAATGTACGCTAGCCTTTCATATAAGATTCAATGTTATTAGTAGGCTACTATTATCAGAACAATGCAAACATCCAGGCACCCCCATGTGGCTCAAAGGTGTTCTGCAGATATAAAAGACCATGGAAGACATTCAGTGGAATTCTGCAAAATGATTTAATGACCCTGATAAAATCTTCAGCGACCTAGTCTTTGGGAATGACTGAGTATAGATGACGCTGGGAGCATCCGGGGGAATGTTCCGAGTATCCGGGTACATTTTCAGTTTCATAACTGAGAGCGCCACAATAGAATAAAGCTCATTCGGGTGTAAAAAAAGAAAACAAGCATCGATTCTCCCATTCATTTCTTATACACCCGATGACATCACACAAGTTTGAGACTTACTTCTGAGTAGCTCATGTTCACAGATATTGATTGATCTTTCCTCGGCCATGGAAATAACTTATTGGAATTATTCATATACTTGGTGCTCCTCTTTAAATAAAAGGCTACAGCTAGCAGCCAGTTAGCTTAGCTTAGCTCAGTTACTGGAAACAAAGGGGGGAAAGCTGGCTCGGCTCTGTCAACGGGTTAACAATATCTGCCTGACCAAAAAATACTGTGGCACACAACTTCTCATTAAACCACAATTTGAAATGTTGACAGTTTTTGTACGCATTAAATGCATTATAATGCGTTAATTAGTGAGCTTTAGAAGTGCTGTTACCTTTGGACAGAGCCCAGCTAGCTGTTTCCCCTGTTTCCAGTCTTTATGCTAAGCTAAGCTAACCCCAGCTGTGCTATGCGGATCCTGGACCGGGTCCAGAGAGAAGGACAGCTCGCAGTCACAAGACAGAGGACGGTGCGTGAGCAGAGGAGCGAGGATGGCTGTGGAGTCACTGTGTAGCTGCCGGCTAAAAGGCACTTCAGGGTCTATTTATATCAAATGATTGCTGTTCCTAAACTCACTCAGAAGCACAACTCTGCATTCACAGCCTTTTCTTTTTAATAGAATGGCCAACAAAAATGCATCCGTCAAAGTGTTTGTGCATTGGAAAGAATGTCAACGTGAAGGAGCACCTTTTTTGCATAAAAGCAGAGCAGCATTTAGACAGTAATTGGATCACACATGTAGGTATGTGTTTTTTGCATGTATGCTCCATGTAACACAAGCAGGCTTTCCTAGAGGGGATAAAGGGGAATGAGGCTTATACAACACAGGGCGCTTTAACATCCTAGTTCTTCTCATTTATGCTTTTCTGGCTGACGGCTGTGTAAATGGCTTTCTGTTGGAGAGGAGAGTCCCCGGGGGAGCCGTTCCACTGACAGGCCGGTAATGCCCCCCCCCCCCCCCCCCTTCTTCATCCATCCACCGAAACACCCCTCGCCAAACCAGCCCAGACAAACATCTTGATTGTAATTGAATTTTTTTGGGGGACGGGTGCTCTGTGATGGAGGACAGATTGGGAGAGAGAGACTGAGGGAGAGAAGGGACGGAAACCGAGGAACGAAGATGGAGGAAGACGGAGTGGTGGAAAGGTTAGAGCGGTGACATAGGTTGAGATTGAATTGGAAGGAAGAGGAAATAGCATAGTGTTGTATAGGAAAGTGGATGACAGAGAGAGAGAGGGGGGGGGGGGGACGAGGACAGTGCAGAGAAAATGGGCTGCTGGGGATCAGCTTTGTTCCTGCCCGGGATTCTTAAAGCTCATGACAATATACGATATTGTGACGCAAGTGCATTGTTGAGAGTATCGCCCGTGTACCTGAAGAATGAGGAAAGTGTATTCACTGGGAGGCAGATGAAGGCCTGATCATACCAAGCTGATGAGAAGACCTTCTGATTTTGCACTACGTAGGTAGAACTCATCATGGCGATACTCGAGGCGGTTACAGTACAATAGAGGCAATTTTAAGAGCATCGCAGAAAAATAGCAAACATGTACATTTTCTTTCTTCTTTCTATTGTTATTTCCTCATTTGTTCACAGTCTGCTGCTGACGTTACTTCACATTCGGATGCGCTGCCTTTGCTCTTAATGTGTTTAATTGCATCTCGCAGTCGAGCATTGTTGTCTGAAAAGGCTCAAAACCAACGTATAGTGTGCCGAGTAGGGTTGCAGAGGTATGAACTGGTTTCACGGTCTACTATGGTATAATTGACGGTTATCATGCCATGCACCTTTGGGTATCTACGGGAAGGGTGTCCCCTTCTAAGAATTTACATAGTCGAGTCTGATTGCATATCATCAACTGATTGTTGAATCATGTTTTTTTCAGTGCTCATTGATCTCCCTGCGTTTATTCTTTATGTACCTGTAGAAAAACAATAAAACTATTGGCATGGATACATGTGACTATGGCTTAGTTGTTCAGAATAATGGGCAATGCTTTGTTCAACCAAAGAAAAACATTGTTTCATTCCTTTAAGGGTTAATGTACCTAATAATGATAACAATAATGATGATTGTGTAATACCGTATGCCGTGATGATTATTCTACCATACAAACCCCTAATGCTGAGCAGCAATGATCCAAATGTGTAGTTAAAAGCGTGTAAAGGCAATCCTCTGCGTTTCTTGAAGCACTTTAGTTGTCGGCCACTTGCTCGCTCTGCAGAACAGATAAGCTTCCAATTTATCAAATGTAACAATCCACACTGAATCCCAGACATGTCCAGCCTGGTGGAGGGCAGACGCTCAGTGCAGCTGTTTTTATCTTGTAAAAACTCAGAAGCTTTTCTTTTTTTCCCGTCTTCAGCCAATAAAGGCCTTTGGATGTATTACTACACAGCTAACATAAAACTAAATGGGACCATAATTTACTAAATGAACATCATGCTGTATTGAAGAAGACTAGCGATTGAGATCATAAACTCATGTTTACAATGTTTACTGAGGTAATAAATCAAGTGAGAGTCATTTTCTCATAGACTTCTATACAAGCTGACTTCCTATTGTAACCAGAGCAGTCGCCCCCTGATGGCCAGTAGAAAGAATGCAAGTTTAAGGCCCTTCAGCGTTGGCTTCACCTTTCAGAACCAGAGGTTGCCGCCTGGTGTCATGTGAAGTCACATTTGTTCACAACAGGCACTATTGCAACAGTTTATGAAGTCCTTAGTGTGGTTTGTATGTGAAGAGGAGAACGTTGCGATTGAAACTACACCTACTCGCTTGAAAATGTTTGTCACTCAAGAGAGTTGCAAAAATATTCCAAACTAACTTGAAGGTTCATCCTTTAAAATGAAAGTTTCCACCAGCGTAGGTTAACCGCACCGACTTCTGGTGCTTTGCAGGCAAAACTGAATTAAAATTCCGTGTCTCCTTCTGCTCGTATCCAGGTTTCTCTTCACGTCTGCTGAGCTGTTACAAACAGCAGATGCCATAAATTGCGGCTTGACAAGTCAATCATGCCCACGTCGATAGGAAACAGATTTGTTTCACACTTTGGTTTGCAGCAAAGAAAACAAACAGTAGGTGTGATCACAAACACACTGACAATCTCAAAAGTCTCATTTGAGGAAAGTGGGGGAAGGACAGCTGGCAAAGACATTCTCGTGCCTTCTCCTCAGCGTCACTGCTTGTTTGTTGTGAGCTCCACTCGCTGCACCAGTCTAACATCTTATTTGTCTGTTTGGATCTTTCTTTTATTATCTTTCTCTTGTGCCTAAAACAATTTCCCAGTCACATTTTCACAGTGTGCTGTTGTAATCCATGTGATACAGGATTCTTAAACTTTCTTCTTGTCTCTGCCTCTGCTTGTCCCTCTATCACCTCACAGATTTTATTTAGTCAGTGGTGGAGTGCCCCTCATCATCTGCGGGGTCACGGCAGCCGTCAATATAGACAACTATGGCAGCGGGGAGCAAGCGCCGTAGTAAGTCCTTCATTTGTTTTGTGCTCTCAAGGTTAAATTGCACACTCTGCTGCATGCAGTCTACAGTCTGTTATTCATACATCTAAGTAATAACTTTGTGTGTGTGTGTTGCAGCTGCTGGATGGCGTGGGAGCCCAGCCTGGGAGCCTTCTTTGGCCCCGTGGCCTTCATCATCCTGGTGACATGCATCTACTTCATCTGCACCTTCATCCAGCTGCGGCGACACCCCGAAAAGAAGTACGAGCTCAAGCAGCTGACGGAGGAGCACCAGAGGCTGGCCGCCGTCGACGTGCCGACGCACTGCCACCAGAGAGCTGAGCCTGGAGCCTTGGCAGCCCCGTTGGGTGGGGGCCACTGCCCCGCTGGCTGCCCGGGCGTCCCCATCAACCCCGCGCTGCTAGCCAATGAGCACTCCTTCAAGGCTCAGCTCCGGACGGCGGCCTTCACCCTCTTCCTGTTCCTGGCCACCTGGACCTTCGGGGCGCTGGCCGTGTCACAGGGCCACTTCCTGGACATGATCTTCAGCTGCCTTTACGGTGCCTTCTCCGTCACCCTCGGCCTCTTCATCCTCATCCACCACTGCGCCAAGCGCGACGATGTCTGGCACTGCTGGTGCTCCTGTTGCCCCGGGCGACGCGCCGACGCCTGCTCCGGCGCCCACGGGCCCGCCCAAGCGCGGCCCAAGGTCAACGTGAATGGAGACACCACCGGGCACGGCCACGGCCACAGCCACTGCCACCACGACTCACCATGTCAGGGCAAAGCACTGACGAGCTGCAGCCATTGCAGCTTAAGTCACTGCAAGCACGCTGCCCTTCCGTCCTCGCAGAATCACGTGGCGTGTCTGGCACCGGTGACGCCGTGCTGCGCCGCCCTGCATAGCCAGCAGCTGATGGAAGAGGAGCCGTCGGCCACGCACGTGCTGCTACATGCAGACCCGGAGGGTTACCGGCCGGGGATCCAGTTGCACCCCTGCCTAAAGAGCAGCACCAGGACTAAAGGCCGTCACTTCAGCCGGCGGGCCGGGGCCGGTGCTTGCGGGGCTGGGAGCGAGAGGGAGTACGCCTATCACATCCCCTCCAGCGTGGATGGAGGCAGCGTGCACAGCTCACACACTGACAGCCCCCACAGCACGCACGAGCGCCACGCCCACATCTGTCCACATCTGGCCCACGAAGGCCACCATGATGGGCATCACACTTGCCACGCCGCTGCAGCCACCACGCACGACGCCCTGGCGTGCCATAACCCCTGCCACAGGCACATCTGCTGCACCAAGGCAGACCTTTTCCCTTCCCTGTGCCCGGCAGAGGCCGGCGACACAGGCGTCTTCCTGTGTGGCTGCGGCAAAGTGGCCGAGCAGGACCCGCTGGCGACACATCACCACCTGGAGATGCACGCCCCGCGCAGACAATCCTACCCCCAGAACCCGCCCAATCAGAATGGGATTCTTAAGGGGGGCCTGCACGAAGGACTACTGTACACTTCGGACAGCACGGGGAATATACGCACTGGACCCTGGAAGAATGAAACTACTGTGTAGTGTGGGAAACAGGGGAGATGGGCAGCACCCCTGTTCATCATCCCGCCAAAAAAAATGAAACCCTTGCCTCCCTTTCTAGAAAAAAATGAATTGAACAACATTTGAAACATCATAATCAGCGTGGGATGTTTTTATTTTCATGTCCTCATGTTTTTATGTGTGCTGTTTTACTGTACAGAAATCCGATCTCACGTAAATGCTCCCTGCGGAGCGTCCATACACAGAACAGAATCTCCTCCACAAGAAGAATTTATGAAACATATGTCACACCAAACCATCAGCTGTAATTGAAGGTATTTCCACTGTTCCATATTACTACAGATGTCTCTCTCTCTCTCTCTCTCTCTCTCTCTATATATATATATATATACAAGAACATGAATGGTTGTATGTATGTGTGTTAGTGCTCAAAGGCAACACGCTGCAAGATTTTTTTACTTGAATCTGAACCCATCAATTAGCCCATGATGACCCAGTGAACCTCCAGAACTCTTGACATCCATGTTTTAGACGACTAAACCAGCAATTTTAGACTTCATAGGTATTTTTGCCATCCAGTCAAGCAACTGTGAACATCTATTGGAGATTTTCTAACCAATATATACAAAGATACTGTCGCTTTCCAGTGTGGATGCCAGTTAAGTTGTGAAAATCAAACGCAACAGAAAAAGAGAAGTGAAATGAAGCATCCTCTTCCAGGTTGGTATTGATCGTGCTGTCTGTATGATGTCTTCACTGTTGTGTTTCTTTTTTTCTGGAGAGAAGTAAATAACGGCAGCTTCAACAGCAACAGCTTTGGCCATTGTGAATAGAGAGTTGGTGTCATTGAGTCATTGGATCCAATGCGGCCACATAGAGCCCGGCCCCCACAGCCAGTTCACTGCTAGTGTGCAGGTTTTTTAATTCCTTTCAGCTCAGCTCGCACACAGTATCAGGCAGCAGTGTATGGTTCTTTGTAAAATCAACACTCAAAACATTTTCAGAAAAAAGAGTGAATGTGATTATAGACGAAACAACAAGCTGCTCTGGGAAACCTGCCTGTGACCAACATAGGGCTGGGTATCGGTACTCAAAATAACCCAGTAACCGGTAGTATTGAAACTTCTCCAGTCAAACACGACCTGCATTTGATCTTTTTTGCGCCCAGATCAGGAAAAAGAAAAATTGTATAGTTTGCTCACAGCCAATCCATTTCCTACCTGCACAAGGGAGGCGACAGTTAGCAGCTAGTTAGCGGTGCCAACGGCGCGTACACCGCTAACAGCAGCAAGAGTGCTGACAGAGCTAAGTGTTAACCTTGGGGCTGGGGGGGCGGAGGGTTTCCATTCACATGATGGGTATCAAATTAAGTACCTGATTGCCATCGCTATCACTTTAAGGGTACTGGTATTAGTATCGTTATAGGTCAATTTTAAACGATACCCAGCCCTAGTCATATTATTTTCCCTCAAAAACGAATTAAACATGTAGGCCAACCTCACCCACTATTAGCTAAAGCCACAAAATGCAGATGCAGTCCCTTTAAGTTTTTTCTTTTTTTCTTTCTTTTGTCTTACTACAGCCCCGAAGCATGCCTTGTTGTATGTAGCGATGTTTTTTTGAAAGTGTAAATGAATGCCCATCCATGAACATATTATTTGCCTCGAGTGCTGCAGCTTGCCGTATATAGTTTTCTGTCACACTCTTGGGTTAAGCCTAGTATTGTATTGTTTCCCACTAGAGATCTCCATTTAACACGAGCGAGGGCGGGTTCATACCTTAAGGTCCAGTGCCTGAATCAAACCAATGCCAGAATGATACATTGTTTCAATTTTTCAACTGGTCCGGTTTGCATTCGCCAACGCAAAACTCAAACGTTCTAGAAATTGTAAACAAAAGTCCTGTGGCGGTGATAGCGTTTGTTCCTCGGCACTTCTAATCTGCTTTCCTACGCTGTGACAAGAATGTGGGGATGAAACAAAGTTGTTAAATGTTATTCTGGATGGCTAGTTAGTTAGCTTGCTAATTCTGCCATGCTTTCATGCAGCACTCTTTACAGAAAACGTGTCAAACAGCAGGTGTCTATCACTCCTCGCTGCTCGGAGACCATGGAGCTAGCGAACCCTCCCCCAACTGCAAACTAGTCTCCTAACGATAAACTAGTCTCCTAACGGTAGGGGAGGGCATGGAGGCAAAAGCGCTAGCTAGCTAATTATCTCATTTGAGTTGTGATAAACACTGAATTCCTAAAATTCACTAGTAGCAAATAGGCAACTAGGTCAACAAGCAAACGGTTTTTTAAACCAATGAAACAACAACAACGTGAACATAAATGGTACGCTTCCTGTGAACCGCTCCAGAGTTCACTTGACAGTTCACTCCGGGTCTACACCGCTAATGCTGCCAGGCTAAACAAGACCGGTGCGAACTCGCCCTTTTATCCTAGAACCCAGTCCAGAACATCACAATGCTCTTGGTTCTGCTTTGGTAGACTTGTGTCAGGAGAGGCCAAGGTTGAAGTATAGATCGTTTTATTTATTTTATTTGTTACCATGAAGGCCACATTCTCTTTGAAGAATTGCCACTCCAAAGAGAAGGCAAAAGAGGCTTTGTATTGATTTAGAAGCACTTGTTTGTTTTATGAATGATGATATTGAGTATGATACTCCAGACAAAACCACTCACACATCTTGTCAGAAAAGCTAAGCTTTAAAAAAAACAAAAAAAAAAACAAGCAGCGCATATAGTCTCACAGCAAACCCTGCTCTCACGAAACCACTTCGGCATGCACACCATCTCTTTATCCATCTTGTGCACTCTTGTCTGTGTATATAGAATCAGTTTCTGATGAATTATTTTATATGAGATTTAAGATATTTAAGAATAAAATAAGTCTATATGTAAAGAAAGTTGTATGGGGAAAAAAAAATGGACCTCTCAATGTTAATACTCAGTATCTGAGTTTAGAAATGTCCTTTATTTTGTTGTTTTCTAATGCCTTTTTTTTCTGTTGCAATTTTAGTTGACTTCATAAAGTATGCAGACTCGCCATGTGTTGTGAGTTTATCCTGTCATATCAGAAATAGAAAATGCACTACCCATGACAACGCTTGGCCTGCCAGGATAGAATCTGTCACTTAGAGTATGTTTATTATGGAAACGTCAAAAAAAGTGACAGGAGAAAAGAGAAATATTAATGTGATACTCCCTTTATTTGGATGGCAGGCTTTGAATAGTGAAAGAGACCCCACATCAGAGATGATGCATGAACATCATAGCTTTGCACAGTTATCTCCAGGGTCCGGGACAAAATTGGATATTGCGGAGGGCCAACTTGTGAGCTATTAAACAGCGGCCCGCACTTGATCACAGGATACGGCCTCCTTTGAGCCGCCGTAGATGCAGGCAGTCAGTGGCCCCGGCTTTGTAGTCGCTGGAAAGGGATTTGTAACAGTATCACAACAAAGCATTTTGAAATCAGCCTCCCCCGCTAAACCCACATTAGACTGAGAGAACAGTGGGCTAGGTTAATCGCTGTACAACGTGCTGGTGGTGGTGTCTCAGTAGCAGCCTGAGACCATGTGTTTGGTGTCATGAGGCCACCGTACGCCGACTCCTGTGTTGTCATCAGTCTCAGATGTACTGCCCTAAAACGAGCTTGCTGACTCACCAGACGGCTGCTGGAATATTCACCTGTGGTACTGTGACAGAAACCGAAAGCCAGTTTTCACTTTTTTCTACATTGACACAGATTCCAATAAATGTATTTTTTCACCATGCAACGGATGAGAGCATCTTTGGCCTTGTGTTTGTGTGCTTGAGCGGAGAGAGTGCATTTAACGTACACGACGATGAATGCGAGGTTGTTTTATTTATTTTTGTCTCAATTCTCGCCGTAACGTGTTTATTTCTTCTGACAGTGTGATGGAGATTGAGATGCCTGACGGAGCCACCATAGGGGAGGAATTCAAATGATAGCAGGCTTGACTGCCGCTCTCTGTGTGTGTGTGTGTGTGTGTGTGTGTGTGTGTGTGTGTGTGTGTGTGT